GACAAGCGTGAAGAATCCCTTGGACTTCCTGAGTGACTAACGAGGATTGCCTGTAAGAAAGCTAATGAAAGCAGATCAATTTATGCGACTGTAAGGAAAAGACAATCACTATTCTTTGGTCATAAGATGGGTGGGGGTGGGGGGGGGGAGCTTTGGAGAATACTGTGATGACTGGGAAGATCAAAGATAGAAGAGGAAGAGGCAGACCAAGAGAGATGATGACAGATGGACTGTGAGATGGAGGGATATCTTCGGTGAAACTGATCCAGAAAACAAGGATCTGAGATCTGTGGAGATGCATGCATGCCTACGCCAGTCAGCAGTGCACGTGATGATGATAATATATAACTTTAGAACATGAGATGATGATAATGATGATGATATAAGGAGCCTTATGATAATGAAGATAATGATAAAGAAGCTAATGATGATGATGATAATGATGATAGTTATGATAATGAAGATGATGATGAAAATTATAATAAAGATGATGATTATTATGATAATGAAGATAATGATGATGAAGATGATCATAATTATGATAATGAAGATGTTGATGATGATGATGATAATGAGAATTATGATGACAACGATGAGATTAAAATTTTGATGATGGTGATGTTGAAGATGACAATAGTGCTAATGAAGATGATGATGACAAGAATGTCAAGAGCTGAACTTGAGAAATAGAAGATAAACTTACCACAATCATCAGCTTCAAGAGATTCCCAGGTCAGAGTGGCAAACTTCACTTCCACTGCCACATCACTATCATGTGGCTTCTCATAAGAATATTTCTCTGGCATTAGGAGAATTTGCTGTTGTTGAGGGAAATGTTAGATGTATGATATGATATGATGGTTAGGGGAAGTTGGCTGACTAGCTATCGACAATGAAATCAGAAAATTCTTCCTCTTCTTCTTCTTCAGCATTCTGTGTCCTTGAGGTTCATTGCTGCAGACATCACCCGCCTCCATTCAGATCTGTGATCAGTCTTCTCCTTCCAGTTGATGACTCCAAGTGTCTGTAGGTCTGCTCGGATATTATCTCTCTACTGTCTTCTTGTCTGTCTTCTTGTCTGTGATTCATCGACCTTGCTGAATCTGCACCACTGGATGGTGAACTGATACATGACAAGGCAGATGTGGTCAAGGCCCTTTGGGAACAAGCAACGGAATCAGTAGAGAAACAATATTATTTAGACCTGAAGAGAATGAGAGTCTGGCAGGCTTACTACACAAAGAGGAAAGACAGACATATAACCAGATTGTGACCGGTACCATCAGTATTGGAACTCTACGCTGGCTGCTGAAGATATGGATGTGGTACACATGTGCTGTGATGTCAATTCTTGACCCGACTCAACTAAACTCAGTGACCTACACATTTTGCTGCTCCGTCGTCTGTCATTCTCTCAATAAATCCCAGCCATTTCTGTCTTTAAGCTTTCATGATGCCAGTTTTCATTAAAGCAGAACATTATATACACTTTAAAAAAAAAATACGATTTATTCATTAGATAAAAACCGATGCATTGGAAACCATTGCGATGGGAAAGAACAGTGGCAAAAAGCAGAAACTACAAATAAAACAATTAAAACAAACATAAAAAACTGATTATTTCAGAATAAAAACATATGAATCACACAGTCTGGTGAGATTGATGCAGCGGGGAGTGACGAAAGGTTCTAGCTGATGCTCGAGGCTCAGAGGAAAGGCAAGACGGATGTTTAATCAGAATGCTACTGGCACCATTAGTATCTGAACTCTTCACTGGCTGCTGAAAATGGGGATGGAGTGCTTATGGGAATGACTCGAGTGCTGTAATGTCGGTTCTTGAATCAACTCAACTCAGATACTTATGAAAATATGAATAGTTATGTTAATTAACAAAACAGAATAACATGCAACAAACTGTAGATCAAATTAACAAGTACACAAATTATACAACATAATTTAGTTAAAATTCAGACCAAGCAAGACTGTATGTATTTTTGAACAATGTACCTTATACCTGGTCATTGCCACAGAGGCATCAATCATGCTCTGTACACCATACAACGAAGTGGCCAGGGAAAACGTCATGGCATAAAATACTGATATCACCGTAAATGCCTGAGAACAAATATAAAAACAGTCTCCTGTAGCACAGTAATATTTCTAAGGAAAAAAATATTTAGTTAGAAATATAAGAATCACAAAAAAGGCTGAATTTTAGTTTTTGTTTTGTTTTTGGTAAATGATATAAAGAGCTTCTTAAATGTGTTCTGCTGGGCCCCACCACAAAATGGGAAACATTGGTACCGATATGTAACTCTCTCCAAAGAAAGAACAAAAAAGTAAGTCTTCATTGGCTATTGAGGAAAGGGACAATTCTTGAATCAATCATTTACTCATTCATCTTTCTTCAGCGTCTCAGTCATTGCTGTTATGAATTAATTCTGTTGATGATATTCTGTCATGTCATGATCATGGACCAGTGTTATTTTTTTATCTTTCTTTCACGTGGCAACCTCTGCCCCCACCCCTTTGAATACAGGACGAGAACCCCCCCCCCCCCCCCCAACCCCCTTTAAAATCAAATGCAGTTTAAAACAGATGAGGAAGAGCTCCAAGCATTATTATCAAGAACTGTTTTGTTATTAATCAGATTTTTAATCATTGGTATGCTACTATCGCAGGGTGCTAAAATGTTATACAGAACCTCTTTTGCTGTATGGCAGCGAATCTTGAAACGTCAGTGACCGATGAGGAAGAATTTGGAAGCAACAGAGATGTGGTTTCTGAGACAAATGTTACAAATACCTTGGATGGCTAGAGTAACTAACAACGATTACTTGAAAGAAGCTATTGAAAGTAGATCTCTACATACAACAATAAGAAAGAGACAAACAATGTTCTTTGGCCACATAATGAGAAGAGAGACATTGGAGAACATCATGACCACTGGAAAGATCAGTGGAAAAAGGGATAGAGGCAGACCAAGAGAGATAATGCTGGATGGGCTGAAATGTAGGCATGGAGGGATATCATCAAGAGAGCTGTTCCAGGCAACCAGGGATCGTGATCTGTGGAGATGCATGAGCGCCTATGCCAGTTGGCAGGGAAAATGATGATGATGATGATAATGAGGTATACAAACTGCTCATAACAGCAAAACAATCCCTAGCTTTTGGTTCCATAAACAATTCAAGAAAACATTTGATTTATAATTAAAGCGAAGAAAAGTTTTTTTTATAGCAGATTATAACATGTATGCATAACATTTTTAAACCACTTGACACCCTTTATTGAAACATTCTTGTGCCCCTCCCCCCACCCTCCTTGGGGAAGGGGGTGTACCCCCCAGGTTGAAAACCACTGTCTTAGAGCAGCCAGCATGAGCTCCCTTAGACTGCCCCTGCCTCTTTACAATTGATTGTTTTTCAATTGCTGCAGTGTTTCAAAATGCCTCTGTTTTCATTGCGCGTCAAAAACCGTTTTTTTTTTGTCTGTAACAGCATTAAGAAAACACATTGGACAAGGGAGAGATTCCAACGACTATCTATGAATGGATACGGATGGAAGATACAATATTAGATAAAAGTAACATGCCTAAGGATGTGTCAGTTTAGATCCTGCAAGATCGACCATATGAGTGGAGTACTATGATGTATACAACCAGTGTGCTACTGGAGTAGTCAGCATATAAACTTTAAGACACTGGCCGAGGGAGACAGAGCCTCTCTGGGTATTCCTGGTATTCTAGGATGTGGATTCTTAAATCAGTAATCTCATGTCCATGCTTGTTCTCTTTCCAAAAATCTTGCATGTTGTCATCAAAAGTCTCAAGTTTACTCCTTCATACACATGATGATGGTGGAGAGATGCTGGTAACACACAGGTAGACATATACACACTGAAGTTACTAACTGGAAAAAGAGATGAATGGGAAAAGAGATGAATGGAAAAAGAGATGAATGGAAAAAGAGATGAATGGAAAAAGAGATGAATGGAAAAAGAGATGAATGGGAAAAGAGATGAATGGAAAAAGAGATGAATGGAAAAAGAGATGAATGGGAAAAGAGATGAATGGAAAAAGAGATGAATGGGCACAGTCAAATCTACATGAAAGAACCTCAAAGACTTGGAAAGCTGAAAGAAGAAGAAGAAGGAGGGGGAGGAAGAAGACGAGAGGGAATGAGAAGATACTGGCACAAGAAAGTAATCCATAATGAACAAGTATCACTTACCCTGGCAGCAGTAAGATCATTGCCAGATAATATGTAGCCCAGGAACATGAAAATCGAGGCAATAACTGGAATCATTGGCATCAATGAGGTCACAATACTTTTGAAAAACGAGCCTCTTTCCAGAGCCAACTTCTCCCTCTGCCTACTGTCTGGAATACAAACAGGCCAGTTAATGGTTTCAATACATGAACAAAAGTGTTGTAAAATCATCATCATCATATACCACTTCTGCCGTTAAGCGTCGTGGGGAGGAATAATTTGAGATCCAGTACACACTGGCTGCCACTGGCTATTGTCATGCCGTGAAGGCGTAGAGTGTCTTTAATGTTGTCGATTCATGATTTCCGCGGCCGTCCTCTTGCTCTTGTAGCTGATCTTCTGAGATGTAGTGCTTGTGATGGTATTTGATCTTGCTGCATTCTCACGATATGGCCAAACCACTTGATCTGCTGTTTCTCTATGAATCTAGTACAAGGTGTCGTTCCCATAATTTGCCTGATAGTTTCATAATTCACTTGATCTCGGATGGTTAGGTTGGCTGCTTTTCTCAGGCACCTCATCTCGCAGGTGGTGATTTTGTGTATATGGGCTTTAGATAGTGTCCATGTTTAGCACTGGTAGCTTAATGTTGGAATGAATATCTTGTTATTAATCTGTATCTTTGCACTTGTTGTAAAAAGACTTCATTAATTACCTAGAATTACAAACTTTATCCAGTGTTTATATTTACCACTTTTAGCGCACTGTAGGACCAATGGGGGCGGCGTCCGTGGCTAAGGCGTTGCGAGTCCGACTCGTGAGCCAGCATACCGCGATCGAAACCCACTGCAGGCTGCGTGGATTTGTGTCGTGGTATGGGACGTCGCAGGTCGACCCAGCCTAAAATGGGTACCAGGATGGGCTGTCCTGGGAAAGTAAAGACAGCCGGCGTAATGCTGACCACATTACCCACAGAGTGCTGATGGTCTGTAAAAATATGGGACGCTCTGCCCATATGCCCGATGCGCTGAAAGGCGTGAAAAGGGATCTTTACTTTTTTTTTTTTTTTAGGACCAATGGGGAAGGATCGAGGGGGGTATGAGCCTGTTTTTACCCCTTTCACCTAAAAATTACCTCTTTTACAAATTTCATCAAAAGTAACAAATCATTATATTTCTCCATAACTCTATTCTAAGAAAGAAAAAATAGAAGAAAGTGAAGTCTTCATCACTTTTGATAAACATCCAGGGGATCTAACTCCTAGACCTCCTAACAGACAGGCAAGAGTGGACGTCTTCTGCATTTTTGATGAAATCTCTCAAAAACTTTTTCTTGTCCAGTCACTTAATGTAGAAAACAACAATATTTTTGGTGGGGAAGGGGGGGGGGGGGGGGGGGGGGGTGGGGGTTAATGTAGAAACTGGCGGTGGGGTTGGGTTTGGGGGGGGGGGGGGTATGGGGTGGGGGTGGTATGTGTGTTCCATATGAGGGGAAGTAATCAATAAATGCTTAGGAGCAGATAACTGACTTCCTTCCCTTTGACCTTTAAGAGGTGTTTTTATCACTTTTCCAACGATAGCAATGTGACCCAATAAGGAAATTATATGAAGTCCCAGTGACCTTACAATGTTTAAAAATGTATTAGTTGCAACCCAAAAAATATACATTTGGGGGGGTGGGGGGGGGGGGGGAAGAGAGGTAAAGTTAAATACTCACCATGTTTTTAAGCTACGCAGTTACAGGCCAAATCAACTGATTTCAGCAAACCTCTAGTTGATTGTCTGTTGTGACATGCTTGTTAGGGGCACGTGGGGGACAGTAGGTCCCCTCCCCTCCTTTCCCCCCTAAATAGGGAGCCAGTTTGTCTGAGGGTCTATGCTTCAATGAGGAAGAAAGGGCGGTAGAAGAAAAGAAACAGACTCCAGAAGTGTGCCGGAAGAGGTGTCCATAAGAAAATGATTACAAACCCAGTATTCGCTTGAGAAATGCAGGTTCCCATCCGTTCATCTTGATCAGCTTCATACAAGTCAGGACTTCATTCATCAGACCAACCTGCCAAGCATAGAATGTGATCAGATGAAGGGGTAATAAGAAACAGAAAGTTAGTGAGAGAGAGAAAGAGAGAGAGAGAGAGAGAGAGAGAGGGAGAGGGAGATACACAGAGAGACAGAGAGAGCGGGAGAGAAAGAGAGGGAGATAGAGAGACAGAGAGACAGAGAGACAAACAGACAGACAGACAGACAGACAGACAGACAGACAGACAGACAGACAGACAGACAGACAGACAGACAGACAGACAGACAGACAGACAGACAGACAGACAGACAGACAGACAGACAGACAGACAGACAGACAGACAGACAGACAGACAGACAGACAGACAGACAGACAGACAGACAGACAGACAGACAGACAGTGAAAGAAAAAGAGAGAAAGAGAGAACTAACCAAACTGTGTTTTAGAAGGCCTAATGTATATCTCACACACAAAATACTAGAGAATACTGCCGTATGTAACGAGATGACAAGTTCTGTCAATCTTACTTACACTTACCCTTTGGCCTGTTAAATTTACTGCTTGTTTCCGAAAATGTTCCATTGCATCCCCTAAAAACTTCTGTATTTAAAAGCAGAAATAAAAACCCACATTAATACACAAATTAAAATATGGATATATATATCTCTCTCTGAGAATATCATCAAAAACGTGTACATGTGAACTGTACACGCTGTCATGTGCTTCTACAAATATGTGACTTAAATTTTTGATAAGCTAAATCACTGGGGAACCCTTGAGGCACTGAAACAACCTCAGAGTTCCAATACTAAGAGTTTCAAAACCAAGAGTTCCAATACCAAGAGTTCCAATACTAAGAGTGCCAATACTAAGAGTTTCAAAACCAAGAGTTTCAAAACCAAGAGTTCCAATACCAAGAGTTCCAATACCAAGAGTTCCAATACCAAGAGTTCCAATACCAAGAGTTCCAATACCAAGAGTTCCAATACTAAGAGTGCCAATACTAAGAGTTCCAATACTAAGAGTTTCAATACTAAGAATTTCAAAACTAAGAGTTCCAATACTAAGAGTTCCAATACTAAGAGTTCCAATACTAAGAATTTCAAAACTAAGAGTTTCAATACTAGGAGTTTCAATACTAAAAGTTCCAATACTTAGAGTTTCAAAACTAAGAGTTCCAATACTAAGAATTCCAATACTAAGAGTTCCAATACTAGGAGTTCCAATACCAAGAGTTCCAATACTAAGAGTTCCAATACTAAGAGTTTCAAACTTAAAAGTTCCAATACTAAGAGTTCCAATACTAAGAGTTTCAAACTTAAGAGTTCCAATACTAAGAGTTCCAATACTAAGAGTTTCAAAACTAAGAGTTCTAAAACAAAGAGTTCCAATACTAAGAGTTTCAAAACTAATAATACTTCTTCGTCTTCTGTGTTTATCCACAGATGTAACTGCGCTCTGCCGTTTACAGCATGGCTGCAATATTTGGGCCGACACATCTGTCTTTTGCAGGCTTTTGTTGACTGGGTTATCCTTCCTGGAAACTTTAAGGGATGAAGGAGATATTAGGTCCTGTTTTATTAATTCTAAGAGTTGCAAAAATGATTCTATGAACTGAAATACTAATACTAAAAGATCCGATACCAATGGGGCATACACACACACACACACACAAAAGTAAAGGACCCTTTTCCATGCCTTTAGGCGTATAGGGCATATAGGGCTAGACCTATATTTTTATAGACCAATCGGTACAAGATGAGTGATGTGGTCAACATCCCGCCTGCCGCCTTTACTTCCCGGGACAGCACCCGGTACCCACTCAAGGCAGGGTCAACCTGGGAGCCAAGGTAATTTTTGAAAAAAGTCTGGCATACACACATACTGAACAATTATTAATGTGTTTTTTAAAGTACTCCTTACCATTATTACAAAAATAATAACATAAGTGGCAATGCCAACCAAAGCCCAGACGCCCATCAGCCAGCCAACATAAATGGCTCCTACCAGGAACACAAGAGGTCCCCCGATGATAAATGGCCCATTGACCATCGCCTCAAACACTCTCTGACCGTCATGGCTAAACATGTTGACCAACTGGGAAAAAGATGAAAATTGACAAGAGTATTCAACTATTATACTAAGAACGTATGAAAAACACTATTTTAATGACACAATGTTAGTAACGATTATCTAAATATTTATAGTACAGTTTCCAACTTAATCACAACTCAGAAAGTACAAACAGAACAATATTTGAAACAATAATGCAAATTACATAACTGTCTTAGGAACTGAGGAAGAAACAAGAAATGTATGATTATGAGTCACTATATAGATGTTAAAAAAAGTGATTGTTTCTTCCCTAATTCTGTGGTAGTGGATAGGATATCTAGTCTTTTCAGATAAGGAAAAAAAACATCCAACATTTTGAGGAAATAACTCAGGGAAGAGTCAGAAAAGAAGAAGACGAATCCGTGAGCAAATGATTGGATGAATAAATGAATGGAATGGATGAATAAATGAATGGAATGGATGAATAAATGAATGGAATTGATGAATAAATGGATGAATTGATGGATGAATTAATAAATAATGAATGGCTGGCAAACATGAAAGAAAGAATTAATTAATGAGAAATGAATGACTTAAAAAATGAATGAATAAATGAACAGGCCAAGTTATTACCTCCCCAATCTGTCTATCTTGAAGACTTCGCAAATTAAGTATCTTCTTATAAAGCAGACCCATTGCGGCTGCCCGACCTCTGGTACCTGGGAAATATCATTCGAATATGAGAGTTGACCTCAGACAACAATCTCGTAGTATTTTGTATGTTACTTTCACATACTTTACTATGGTAATTTTTACACAGATGAACAGTGCACATCAGGTAAAAAATTAACTTAAAAATGTCTTGCAACAAAAGTGCTCATGCAACGCTGGACTAAGCTGATTTCATCACTCACCCATACAGCACTTAGCGCGGCTTTCAGAGCGCCCTAATTGTAACTTTCCCCATGTATCCGTCACTATGTATCCATCACCATGTCACTCCACCTGAGACAATAACTTTAATGTCTCAGATTTTTGCCATTTATCTCCCCTCCGCGATCGAAACCTATTGCTGACTGCGTGGAGTTTTATCATGGGTGGGGCGTCGCAGGTCGACCCAGCCTAAAATTGGGACCCAGGATGTGTGTCCTTAGGAAAGCTGACCACATTGCCCACCTAGTGCCGACTGGTCTGTAAAAATATGAATGCTCTTTCCAAATACCCGATGTTGCTAAAAGCACAAAATGGCAATCTTTTATCTCATATATAGATTAGTGAAAACTATTCAGAAGCTGCCAAGATGTAGTTTTATAAACAAATGATGAGAATACCATGAACAGATTTAAAAAAGAGTAATGAATATGTCTTAAAAGAAACAGACTCATGAAAAGAGCTGATCACCCACATCAGAGAGAGACAATTTACATTCTTTGGTCATGTGATGAGAAGGAGAAAACTAGAGTACATCATGACGGTAGAAAAGTTGGAGAGGAGGAGAGGCAGAGGGAGACCAAGAGAAAAGATGCTGGACACTCTGACATCATAGCATGGAGGATCCTTTGTGTCAGAGTTGATTAAAAGTACACGAGACAGAAGGTTGTGGATAGACTACTAACGCCACGTGGAATAGACTTTAAGAAGAAGAAGATCTCATGTAGTTCTTTTCTTCTTCTCTCCTTCCATTTTCCATCGACAATTTCATTAACTCTTGATGACACAGTTTGCTAAAATGGACTAACAATGTTTTCCTCTTCAGCTTCCTGAATGACTGACATCACAGTCTCGTAAAATGACGTATAAAATGATTATAAAATAATTATAAAATGATTATAATTGGATTGCTCTAAGAATGCACCAGTACTGCTTTAATGCACTGCACCCCCCCCCCTCCCCCCCTTTCAAGGATTGCAATCACTTGCCCAGAATCCCACATGCAAAGGGCCCCAATGCTAATCTGTATGTCAAGTGACCTGCTACGTGGTTGTCATAGGGGCCTTGGCACACTTGTTTTTCCCAGTGGCCCTTAACTCTTTGAGCCCCAAGAAACGCATCATACATTCATAGATTTCTACCTGGAAGCCCAATGAACGCATGATGCGCCAATTTTATTACTTTCGTTACTACCCCCTGGGTCTGTGATGCTAAACCCCCTGGGACTCAAAGAGTTAATACTGTTAAGATGGCACTGCAGTCTGTAGAATTAACATTTCAAGGATGAGAATCAATTACATATCCTGAAACACTGTTCAGCCGTATAACCACAAGACGGTTAGGTTAAGCACCACAGAACTGTTAGGAGGTAACATTTAGTGGTATGGAGCATTCCAATAATTAAGAACATGTATAAAACGTTTATGAGTCAATGTATACTTCATCGTCTTTAAGTGTCTTGTGGACTGGAGTAGGCGATCGTGCCTCTCCACAATCTGTGATCTTCAACAGCATGTATCAGTCCGTGCTAACACACTTCCATGTCTTGACAAATGGCTGTCAAGAATCTTCTTTTACTGACTTCCTCTGTCTCTTTATCCACAGATCTTTTCAGTGGTCACAACATGTTACATTTTATTTCTTTTCATAACATGACCATAAAATGATAACTGTATCTGACTTTTGTGATAAGTTGTCTTCAAACCCTTGCCTCTTTCAAATATGTTGCTCTTTTTAGCCCTCTAAAAAGAAATTCTAAGGAAAACCATATCTCATTAGCCTGAAGCTATTACCTGTCCAAAATGCATAGCCATATGTTGAAACTGGTGCAATATTTTTATTTTATATTTGTTTTCATTTTTTTTAACTGCTTGTTTTTTTTTCTTACCTCTAGTGCTAAAGATTTAATGCATAAAATGTCTAGATTTTATAAAATGCTGATTGAGCTAAAAATACATATATAAACAAAACAAAAATGATCAATACAAAAGATACAACTGTCTAATAAAATGATGAGCCTTCCAATTACCATCTAGCAGTTGTAGTGGTGGTCGTAGTAGCAGTTGTAGTTGTGGTGTAGTGGTAGTAGTAGTGGTGGTTGTAGTGGTGGTTGTAGTGGTGGTAGTAGTGGTGGTTGTAGTGGTGGTAGTAGTGGTGGTTGTAGTGGTGGTTGTAGTGGTGGTTGTAGTGGTGGTAGTAGTGGTGGTTGTAGTGGTGGTGTAGTAGTGGTAGTAGTGGTGATTGTAGTAGTGGTGGTAGTGGTGATTGTAGTGGTGGTTGTAGTGGTGGTTTAGTGGTGGTTGTAGTGGTGGTTGTAGTGGTGGTTGTAGTGGTGGTGACGGGGTGGTTGTAGTGGTGGTGACAGGGTGGTTGTAGTGGTGGTTGTAGTGATGGTTGTAGTGGTGGTGATGGGGTAGTTGTAATGGTGGTTGTAGTGGTGGTAGTAGTGGTGGTTGTAGTGGTGGTGACGGGGTGGTTGTAGTGGTGGTGTAGTGGTGGTTGTAGTGGTGGTTGTAGTGGTGGTGACAGGGTGGTTGTAGTGGTGGTGACAGGGTGGTTGTAGTGGTGGTTGTAGTGGTGGTTGTAGTGGTAGAGACAGGGTGGTTGTAGTGATGGTTGTAGTGGTGGGGATGGTTTGGTTGTAATGGTGGTTGTAGTGGTGGTTGTAGTGGTGGTTGTAGTGGTGGTAGTAGTGGTGGTTGTAGTGGTGGTTGTAGTGGTGGTGATGGGGTGGTTGTAATGGTGGTTGTAGTGATGGTTGTAGTGATGGTTGTAGTGGTAGTTGTAGTGATGGTTGTAGTGGTGGTTGTAGTGATGGTTGTAGTGATGGTTGTAGTGGTAGTTGTAGTGGTGGTTGTAGTGATGGTTGTAGTGATGGTTGTAGTGGTAGTTGTAGTGGTGGTTGTAGTGGTGGTTGTAGTGATGGTTGTAGTGGTGGTTGTAGTGGTGGTGATGGGGTGGTTGTAATGGTGGTTGTAGTGGTGGGAGTAGTGGTGGTTGTAGTGGTGGTTGTAGTGGTGGTGACAGGGTGGTTGTAGTGGTGGTGACAGGGTGGTTGTAGTGGTGGTGTAGTGGTGGTTGTAGTGGTGGTTGTAGTGGTGGTTGTAGTGGTGGTTGTAGTGGTGGTTGTAGTGGTGGTTGTAGTGGTGGTTGTAGTGGTGGTTGTAGTGGTGGTTGTAGTGGTGGTTGTAGTGGTGGTAGTAGTGGTGGTTCAGTGGTGGTTTAGTGGTGGTTGTAGTGGTAGTTGTAGTGGTGGTGACGGGGTGGGTGTAGTGGTGGTTGTAGAGGTGGTGTAGTGGTGGTTGTAGTGGTGGTCGTAGTGGTTGTTGTAGTGGTGTTATAGATGTGGTTGTAGTGGTGGTAGTAGTGGTGGTTGTAGTGGTGGTCTAGTGGTGGTTGTAGTGGTGGTGTAGTGGTGGTTGTAGTGGTGGTAGTAGTGGTGGTTGTAGTGGTGGTAGTAGTGGTGGTAGTAGTGGTGGTTGTAGTGGTGGTTGTGATGATACTAAGCTAAAACTTAAAATTTCAGCTACTAACCATTCAAATAATTGAAACTTGTCGTCAAAGAGAATGTGAAAGAGCGACAAAATTCACAGACAATCAGAGCAACGACAATGGCTTGAACACTTGTGGTATCTGGTTTGTCTGAGGAGATATGGTCGAGGAACAATCGCAGAACACACGCCTGCAGCAGAAAAAATTATCAACACAAAAAAGTTTGCTTATTAGGTTATGCTCGTAAACAAGAGTTATCTTCTCTTCCTAGATTATTACTCAGTTATTATCAGTTTATCTGTTTGGTTAGTCGGCTGATTAGTTAGTTACTTATCCAGTTGGTGATTCAGCCAGTCAGTCAATCAGCGTTATCAACTAGCTGTTCAACAGATCATACACAATGCACTTTGAACCATTCAGTCTATAAGAGTATCCGTTAATAGGTAGGCAAGTAAATAATCATCTCCCCTAGGTTCCTCCAGATATCTAGCCTTTAGGAATGGAAGTGGATATCAGCTGTCAGATACCAGCTAAAGGAGAAATTAGGAAAACTATCAATCTACTGAAGGATGGGAAGGCTGCAAGTTCAGATGATATCCCAGCAATAAGGCCAATATAAA